GGAGCAGCGCTGCAGCTCGGCGGCTGCGACGGGGTTTCCTTCCCTACAGGCCCATTAATGAGCCTTTAAATTCAAGAGAACCTCTCCAGTGTCACCCTTTTCTGTCCAATTCAAGGAAGTAAATTATATTGAATGTGTAACAATTAACATTTCATCTAAAACCGGGGACCCAGCTAAGTAACTGTTAAAGATCTATGGAAGAGAGAAGTACAATGGGCATGGATGCAGCATGTTCAGGATTGCACTGTTCTTTCTAGTGTTGCAGTGAAACAACTCCTTAGGAGGAAAAAGTCTTTAGTTCTGTCAGAAACAAACAAAAAAAAGGTACCAAAAGCTTTTATAATTTAGTGTAAGTAATTTTTACATGGCCAACATCAAGACATGAGAATGACCCTTTAACCAGGCACACGGTGCATCAAGACTTCCTAAAGGAGAAGACACCACAATAGGTTTAATTTTAGCAGTTCTTTAATTGTAGCAAAGAGGAAACCATCTACTCCTGCATCTTCTCAATCGTTTCTTCCTTGTACTTGCCCTTCTCCTTGCCAACCTGGCGAGACTTGGCTTTCCGCTCCAGGATCTTCTTGCGGTCTTTGTCCAGCTTTAGCCTGGTGATCACCACCTAGGGAAGGACAGGGATTTAGTCTGGCACGTCTGAGGCAACATCACATGGCACAGGAAGATCAAGGCTGACAAGACAGCACCAACTCACCCAAGATTTACTTCCACAGACTGTCCAACCTGAGCAGATCAGAGGCACTCGAGTGCCTCCTGCACTTCACAACACTGAGCTATAGTATTTTTTCCAGATACATGCAGGGATCAGAACATACTGACAGGTTTTTCAATCCACAGCCACATAAACTGAACAGCCAAATTTCTCTTCACCTATGTAATTACTTTGAAGTAAATCTAATTTCCATCATGCTGTCCAAACATGATGGATACTCCATTTAAACATAGCACACAGCTGAATCTTCCTCCCACCATCACAAAAATAATGGATCATTATTTAAATTTCTCCATGCTTTAAGTAATGCTACCTAAAACTTTGGTACACTGGGAAATCGTGCTGCTTCTGGCCAGTACCATAACACTGCTGTACTGTTTGGAGCAGCCAAGACACCTGGCTAAACTACAGGTAACAGTAAAAGTTCATGCATCACCATGACTTACATGAAGACTCTTTAAAAACTCATCTGTTATTGTACAGCAGCCAAGGGCCAGACCAGTGCTACCAACATGGACACCAAAAGGTAATTAATCTGCACACACCATTTGCTACCAGAGCTTTAATGGAGCTTCTTAAAAATGCAGTAGCAAACCAAAGCTCTGATTTTTCTGCTCTTAAGCAGCCTCCAGTGCTCTTCATGCCCCCCAAACTGACAAAGAAATAAATAAATGCTTTGATATTACTGAAAAGGGTACTTAAAAACGTAAGTAACACAACCAAATCCTAGAAAACACATACAGGCTACAGCAGGGCTGCACACTCCTGCTCAGTTCCATTGTGCATTCAGTCTCTCTTAACTGTAACTAATTCTTTACCTAACAGAGGAAGAAACTGTTCCACTTCCACTGCAAGTTTGGAACAAACACAACATTTTTCTGTTCTTTTTGCATTTATCACCAGAATCTTCACACAAAACTTGATCAAGGTCTGATTCACAACTGGAGAAAACTTTCACAGAAGGACTAGCACAAACCTCAGTTTCTTCCACTGCTTGTTACCACACAAGTACGAGGTGAGCTGCTTCCATCCCAATGTCACCTTGTCCCTCCAATGTTATTACTGCACACAAGTCATTAGGTTGTTTTGGAATAATTCTGATCTCCCTCTGCTGAACATACCAACCATTTTGATCAGAAAACCTGTCACAACTGGATTTGTTCTACCAACACTTTGGCCTATGTGCCCACATGGCAAGGCTGACGAGACTAATTTAATCTGCTTCAAACCAGGTTTTGCCTAGTTGTTCTCTTTAGTTTGAAATGTTTTCCTCTTATGATCTAAACAGGCTTCACCTGGTTTTCACAAACTCAAAAACACTGTAAGTAACTTCACACTAAAATGAGCTGCAGACAAACTGAGTTCCCAGTAATCCACAACAGCAAACCATGATTCTGAACATCCAACCATTCCTAACACCCCCCTCATCAGTGAAATGGCACACAGCAAAGGTGAAGAATTCTTCTAGATAATCTATTTTGTTTGATAAATCTTAAAATCACCAAGCTCTTAAAAAAGGTATTTTAGCAAGACTCCAAAGTCTCTAGCAGCCTCTCCACTAAATAAGCCCTTGAGGGCTTAAGAACTCCTTGAAGAGTTTTTGTTTTCAGCTGTCACTCCTCTGCTATCAAGACACTGTAATGTTTCCCTATGATGCCCCCAATGCTGCAGTATCTCAACCCATTGCTCCCTGTACCATAACAAGGTTCTGCTCATCCAGCAGCAGGTTCTTTACATGACAACAAGGTCTCCTCGTGCATTTCAGACCTCAGTACCCACTGTACCTTGCTGGGGTGGATCCCCACGTGGACAGTTGTGCCATTTGCCTTCTCACGCTGAACACGCTCAATGTAGATGACGTATTTTTTTCTGTACACCTGGACCACCTTGCCAATCTGCTGCCCTTTGTAGTGTCCACGGACAACCTAAAGACAAATGTAAGAATGCACCACGTGTCCTATACTTCCAAGCCATCCTTAAAACATTTAGCAGACCCTAAGAAACACTACTCAATTCTCCCAACAGAAAGACAGAACCACCCACATTGGAATCCCAACTCTGCTCTCTGTATACACGTCCTACAAAGATATCAACCACTGGACAATTTCAGCAGTCACTGAAATGGAAAATATAATGGATCAGAACTGCCCTTCTCCCTCTTTTTCCCTGCAGCAAACCCTCATGAAGGAACTCTGTATCTTTTCAACCCAAAAGATAATGGTTAACTTCAACAGTTTTTAACATTTTTCTTTTTTTAACTATCATTACATTTTAAATAAAAAAGCCACTTAACTTGGATAAATTTCTAAACTGATCATTCATATATCACAGGTAGCACAGAGTCTACAAAAAAGAAGAGAAACATTCTTTTGCTTTGTGCTTTATTGTTAAAAGCCTTTAATCCAGCATGATCATCAATGCACAGAACTGAAGTGCAGGGAAGCTGCCAGCACACCCGTGTTCCTTGTAGTTTCCTCCCCAGTGACACGATCCCAAGAAACACTCAACAAGCAAACCTATGGCTGGCTGTCTGTCTGGGATTATTGTTTCTTCTAGACTCGTGGCAAAGCTCCGACATCAATCTGAACTTATCAAGCCCTTCCCTTCTGCACAGCCTACACGTGATCACTGTGACAAGAGTTCCTGTGTGACAGAAGCACTAAGAAGAGCAGCACAGCAGGTACCTGGACCTCGTCGTCCTTGCGGATGGGCATGGAGCGCACGTTGTACTTCTGCCGCAGCTCCTTGGAGAGGGGGGAGGACATGATCTTCCTGCGGATGTGGGAGGGGGCGTTGAAGTGGCGTTTGCGGTTCTTGCTGCGGTCTGAGGTCACGAACGGGTTGAACTTCATCTTGGCTGCACCAAGAGAAACCACAGTTTGAGAGATGCCTTTACTGACGACAAAGCAGTGTCAGCTGCTCTGAACATCA